TCACCTGCTAGTAGGGAACAGAAAAAATCTTGTAAGATACTCAGCTGCCCTTCATGCCATTTATCAGCCCCTGAGAAAGCCTCTGTCTCCTTATCAAAGTCTGACAGACAACCAAAATGGACAGGGAAGGAGAATGAGGAGGCGCTAGGGAAGAGAGGGGAGGCTGTGGCAGATGACTCCTCTCTACTGGCAGAAGACAATGAACCCCAGAATTCTCCTTTGTCCTCAGGAGACAACATGGAAGACCCTTCCCCTCAAGAGCCAGAAGCTGCCAAGACGTACTGTAGGGCTTCGGAGGCAGATGTTCAACCATATCACACTCCCATCTCCCAACAAGTCTCATATTCTTCCCCACACCATTCTTATGTTCTCAAATCTTCACCCTCTAAAGGAAACAGACACTCCACAGAACACCAAGGTGTTCAAACTTCCAAGGAGAGTAAGAATGACTCCAGTAAAAATCAAGATTCTGTGGGGGCAGAGGTTGAACTTCAGGTGCATCTGGAAAGTTGTAGTCTGACACTGCAGACAGACAGTAAAGAAGAGGGGAGAAAGGAGAACATCACCTTTTCCATCTCCACAGAGCAGAGTCTTTCATCCCTGGAGACCATGTCCCAAGGCAGCGTAGAATGTAAAGGAGTGAGGGTAGACAATTGGGACAAGGGAGGAAGCAAATGGCTGGAAATGAAGCGGGGAGGCAGGAACAAGGGGGCAGAAGAGTCATCCAGAAAAGAGATGGAGAGCTGGAGATGTGCTAATTCCTCAGTAGTTAGACAGCCCTCAACTTCAGCTGAAAACATTGCCCCCTCCTTGGTGGCTCTCTCTGAAGAAGAAAGAGCCACCCCAAGTGATAAGAAGCTCTGCAGCAGAGTAGCAGAAGCAGTTTTGGGAACACCTGAAGATCATGGTGCCCTAAAGGGGGGTGAGATTCTAGACCATAAGGATGTGGTCTTATGGCAGAAAAGGCATCCTTCAGTAGACCTCACCCAAGCAGCAGCTTTGGGGCAGGCCAACAAGGCCCCAGATCCTCTGACTACAGGGACAGGCACAATAGGCTGTTTACCTGGAATGCACCAAAAGGCTGGGAAGAAAAAAGAGTTGAGGGTAAGCTGGGCTGCCCAGGTCTCCCACCAAGAATGCCTTGTCATCAGAGGGCTAGTCTTTGAGCCTAAGCCCAACCTGGCTTTGAAGGTTCCTAGGATGGAACAAGCAGTGAGCCAGAGGTCAAGGGAACAGAGGTGTTCGGGTAAGGAGAAGATGACCATTCTGAGTAAGATCCTGGAGAGAAAGTTGAATTTGCAGCAAGGACTGTCTATCTGGAGACAGAGCCAGGGAGAGAAGCAGAAGGAAAGAAGACGCAGTGGGAGTGAGAAAAAGGAAACCGGAGGAGGGCAGAGAGGGAGGCCAGCCCACCCACGTTCCGTATCCGTGGACAAGAAGTGCTCCGTCCTCAGCCGCATCCTGAGGGGAAAGCTGCCTTTGTGGCATAGGCTGTGCTTCTGGAGGAAAAGTGGAGAAAAGCGAGGGGGTGTCCCCAAAGCCAGGAGAATTGGGAAATCTGCTGGGATGTGAGAAGAGCTTGGGGCTGCTAATTAGGAGGACTATATTCTGTAGCGCCTTTTCACCAATAAATCTCCATTTTAGCAGCATTCGGTTTGGGGTCTGCACGGCCTGAAAGGCTGAGCAGTTCAGCTGCTCAGAATGGGAGTCGCTGGAACAGCTCTTCCAAATTATCTGAGGTGGCTCACCAGCTCACCTCTCAGTTTGTCAGCAAGTCCTTCTCTAAACTGGTGAATCAGCACCAGATCATTCCAACCCACATCTCTGGCAAATAACTTAAAACCTGATATGCGTGCCTGCACTCTATGCTGATCATGCCTGAGTGCGCAAATGTTATGGCTAGTGGTCAGGCACCTCATGGAATCATCAAGGGAACCTCTAAACATCTGCATGAAGTTTTGATAACTGTCCAGCCCTGGGCCACTGCCCTCAATGACAGGTATTCCATTTAACTTCCCCTTCTTTCAGCAAACTCAGCACAAAATTCAGTTTGCTGCAATCGCAGTGGGAAACTCCACTGGCCAACCCACCACGAACAGTTCAAACTGATGGCTGATGTGGGTCTTCCGGGCTGTGTGGCCGTGTTCTGGAGGTTTTGTTTCCTAACGTTTCGCCAGCACCTGTG